AAGATATAAACTATTTATGTTACTTTTGAATAATACTTGAGAATTACTTCAGTTCAGTAACTTGTACTTGATGGTTTAGTAGTTGGTTAATAACTGAGGAACTTGGAGTCTTGGAGTCTTGGAATGTCGAGGATTTGCAAGAGGGTAAATTGGAGGGGATTGGTGAGTTGGAGGGAGTTAGTCCCAAGAAGGTCATTGGTCTTTAGGAAGGTGGGTGGTTACTTTCATGGGTTGTTTCGAGAGGTGAGTAGGTAGAGAGGGATGCGGAGAATCCTGGGATTTGGGATATTCAGCAAGGGTTCGAGGAAACGAGTTACTGATGGGAAAGTACTGAGGAAGTAATTTGACGTTTCCTAGGAAGTTGAGACCAAGAGGGTAATAAAAGGGTCCAAGAGGATTTGAAGTTTTGAGGGTTATAGCAATAAATTGAGTTTTATAAATTGATATTTCCATACAACTCAATTTAATTATTTTTCGTGGCAATTCCTTGTCATGAATTCTCTCAGTTCTGTTCCCTCCGATTTTTGATGATGAAAGACCAAAAGAAACTACGGTGGAAAAAAATCAGCTAATTCGTGCCGAGCAATTTTAATAAAAACTGAGGACGCGTTGGATTTAGGTGCGAACCTTCGAGGTTCATCATTTTGGCCAATTGACTGACAAAATTTGAAAAAAATTATAAAAATAAAATTTTCATGAAATTTTTTAAAGGTTTTTGGGCGGATTACTGACAAACCCCTTCGTTCTTTCATCTATAAATCTAATTGAAAGGTAATGGATTGATGCAGATCGCAAAAACCTAGAAAAAAGCTAGCGATACCCAAGAGTTGAAGTAATTCTCTTAATATTACATTAGTTTCTCTATCCACATCAGGAGAAACCCTACAATTGGAGCAAGGGTATGATCACAACTCTGGTTGTCTAGATAGAAATCTAGATAACTTCAAGGGTCAAAGCTGGAGTGGAAATGCACATAGGTACCACGCTTTTAACCTAGATGATGTCCACAGAAAACCTTGAATCACTGCAACGTTTTTGGCATTGCTCAGTTACCCCCCTAAAAACCTGCGTCAGGATAATGTCAACAAAACTTGGATTTTCCACCAAGAACTTGAGGAGTTTTGAGGGTTCTCAAAGGATGTTATATTCGTCGTTCTGTTTTCCTCCTTAAAACCTAGGGAGATTTCAAAATTGAGTCGAGAGAATAAAAAAAAATCTGGTTTTAATCTCCGCAATACTCTAGGCTCAATCCGTCAGGGGCATGATAAATCACCTAGATGAATTAAATATGAAAAAAAAAGGATACTCATTTTGTATCATGTTTGGTAGAAATACTCACATCATTTACTTGTTAATATAGTTAGCGATGAAAGCTGAGTTTCATAATAAGATGAAAAGACGGTATAAGGTGATAAATCGCTTTTTTTATTGTCAATAACAATTTTTAAAGACATGATCATATTATTATGTTGTAAATGAATTGACAAACATTTAGAAAGGCACGATGTTTTATCTGCCAAGTTGTCAGACCTGGATTATCGCAGGAAAACTAGACCCAAAATGATGAGTTATCATTAAAAAAAAACTAATGCAGACAGTAATAATTTATCAGAACTATCGAAGACTGGGTTTGAATCATAAGTTGCACTTACATAAAAATACTATGAAAAATGATCGTACGATAAATATATTTGTAGGACTCAGGATATTCATTGTTTTCAAGTTATATATAATATGACTCGAGTGTATACCGACGAATGGATAAGAAAAATAGAATAGTATTGAAACTTTATCAATATTTTCATGTAGAATGATGAAAAATATCAAATCATATGCGTCAAACATTATCTGTACGAACATAGCAGACAATACGGCGACAAATGAGGCATCTTAATAATTCGTTTTCCTCTCGAATTTCTTGTCCCCCGCGATAACATGAATCACACAAGACTCTGTCTGCATCGATAAAAAATAACGTTTGCTGGATTAGTGTGGCAGCATACACAAATCCTACCATCATTGTCTTCTAGATGTTGTCTCACTTCTCTCTCTATCTGTTCTCTTTCCTCATCATCTGGGAGGAGGGCAAAATCTTGGATAGGCCCTTCGATTGCATTTAAATGGCCATAATCATCTTCTGGAGGATCGAAGATAGGATCATCTAACATTGAAAAAAACGAGACAATAATTAAACATATGCAAGATTATTTCACAACAGTGTCAACACGTATAAAAAAATTCAATAGAAAACCTATCGAATTCTCTAGGAAATTCTATTGGAATTCTATTGAAAATTCTATTGGATTTTCGCCCATTTCTATTGCAAATTTTTTCCAATAGAAATATTTAATGGATCACATTTTTATAGAAAAAAATCAATAGAATCAGATTTTTCTATATAATTTCTTCTATTGAAATTTCTCCATAGAATTTTCACGGCATAATTTTTTTTAAGTTTTTTTGCTTGAATTTTTTAATGGAGGATAGAAGAAAATACAATATAAAAAACTTAGAAAATTTATGCCGAGAAATTTCTATAGAAAAATCTAATTCTATTGATTTTTTTTTTATAAAAGTGTGACCTATTAAATATTTCTATTGGAAAAAAATCTGCAATAGAAATGGGCGAAAATCCAATAGAATTTTCAATAGAAATCCAATAGAATTCCAATAGAATTTTCTAGCGAATTCGATAGGATTTTCTATTGAATTTTTTCATACGTGAATAAACATAATCATTACCGTCGAGAATTATGTTTCCTCTTTCATCATCGAAAATTCTCTCATCTCTTCCTCTTAGATCTCCAGGGGCCTGCTCGATAGCATGACCAATAATTTGCCTTCGAGCACCATCATTCAATCCATCATTCATGTCTTCATTAGCTCCAGCTCCATTTTCGTGTTGTGGCTGACGAGGAGCACCAATGTTGTCTTCAGCATCTTGATTTGCCCTGGCTCCATTATGAAGTGGTAGATCAGGAACCACATTTGGCCTCTGAGCATAAAAATTTTCTGCATTATTCCCAGCATTGTGAACCCCATCTTCAGCTCTGTTGGCAGCTCGTGCAGCTACTTGTCGACGAGCACGTACTCTTCGGGCATTGGGGTTGATTCTTCTCAACAATTTCTCGAGATTTTGTGCTGGTTCTCTTGCCGTAAAAATTGGCATCATTAAAGCTGGAATAAGAACAAAAAATATACTACTAAATCGAATTTTAGGAGGTAATATCAAGGACTAATTAATCACACAGATGAATTTATTATGAAGAATTATTATACCTCGTTCTTCATAACCAGCGCCCTGGAAAAGTTGATGAGTTTTTGGATATTCATCAGGATTTGCTAAGTTGTCTAGAAAACTGGTCCTCAAACAGAAGACAGCCACTTGCATCAAACGTGCCTCGTCAATAGCTCTATTGTGATACTTATCCCATTGTTTCGGCAGGGAGGAATTATCATCGGCAAGAGGATAAACCTTTGGAGTCCAAGCATGAGGGACTGACTGTGGACGTGCTTGTAATTCCTTATGTATCTTCTCCTGACAATGAATGATTCTTTCTGCAACATCAAGTGAAATAAAATTGAAACTTTGGGACCCAATTTCATATGAAATTAATGAGTAAATGGTTTTGGATGAGTGGAAAATTTCTCTCCAGAAAGTTGATATTAATTTGATAAAACTATATCACAGAAATTAAAGAAAGGGAAGAAGGAATATTCACCCATAAACTTCCACAAAGTTATATCTCGTTCATTAAATTGTAACAATATCTTGAGCATCGAACGTTGGTAAGCATCAGTGGCACCAGAATTTTTGTAACAACTTAATTCTTCAGGACCTACTGATTGGATCCAGTTTGTTTCATAATAACTGAGGAATTGTTCCATCTCATTTTTCTTATCAGCAGTCATTTTGTTGAGAATTTCCTCTGTATATGATCAGATGATTTTGTCAGCTGGGAGGATGGCTAAAGTTGTGAATCTTGTCAAGATGGTGATGTTCTCCTCATCATGAGTATTGATATTCAATTCTTCAGGCTTAGAATTCATTATATAAAATTATTAGGAAAAGAAATTGAGACTTTGTATTTATATAACATGTCAATACAGACAATAAAGAAAGTACAACTCAATGAAAATCTTAATGAATGGCCACTCACCGACATATGATTGTAAAGTGTTCCCTTGACATTATTATAGTGTCGTTTGAGTTGTGTGTGGAGCAGATTATCAAAATTTGCGTAGAAGGGAGTACTTGCATCGTCGAAAATTCCTTTCATTTTTTCAGCGATAGAAGCATAAGTTTCCTCGCATCTGCTCTTGATACAGATCCACATAACTGGATAAACCTGTTTGATATGCAAGTGTAATGAGAGTCGAAATATTCAGGTAATTTAAAGTTTTCTGCCTTGCTCAAAATTTATTGCCAAGAATAATGTCCACGGAATATTTGAGAAAAGAAAAAGAAACAAAATATAATCACCTTTCTCTCAGAGACTCTCATGACTATCATTACTTCCTCAACATGGATCAAGTTGGGTAACATATTGTCATTGGTAACACAAGAAATTGCTGTTATTGGTGTATCTCCCAGAATTCTCATTGTTTCTGGATCAGTGAGAATTAATACTTCTGAAGGCTGGCCCCTATTAAATAACTCTACCTGCAGAGCACCATGTCCACACCAGCGAAGAGGCGAATTTATATAGTTTGTCTACTAATACTCCATAAGAATTTTCAATTTCTGGAAGTTCCTGATGCTCATTACGCCAGTATCTCATTCGATTCCTCAATCTTTCATTGTTGAGTAATTCAATTGTTGCAGCATGTCTGTAAGTTTCATCAAGTTTTCAATACTTTATCACGAGATACTAAGAGATAATCAAAGTCGAAAACTAATAATAGTTGATGGAAAAGATATTTACACTGGCTCCAAGTCATTCAAAATGAATGTTAGATTTCTCAATTGCCTCGTGTAAGCTGCGCACAATTCATTCAAGAATATGTCCTCTGGTTCTTGATGCAAGTCAATTCTGTGTTTGTGGGGCGTTGTAATTTCGAAAACATCATTGACAAATTTCCCTCGACCAGAACATCTCCATCTATTGTTTCCCAGTGAACAAACGTATCTTCTGAAAAAGCATGGAGCGCAGGAAAAATAACAATATTACTTGGTGATGAGAATTTTTACAAAATTTAGGTGCTGAAATGGAAAAAAAATGGATGAAATCTAGGAGGCCGGATTTTTACCTTCCATTATTATACAAATAACATCATGAAACATTATTATTATTATTATTTTGGAATACTGTATTATTTATTGGAATTCTGAAAGGTATCTCCATTCCTCTCGCCCCTGGTGTGAAACAGTGGGTTGCGACTATGGCAATCGGTGGATTTCTGTTCTGTCACTCGATCTGCACTCTCGTATAAGTGCTGCAGAGAATTTTTCTGATATATATTACAAAAGGCTCTGTTATCTACGTTTTCGAATGGAAAAAAAAATCACGTAATTTCAATAATTGATTGTACATATTACCCGATTTTCTCAGGAAAGGAAACGGGTATAATCATGTACAAAAATGGAAATCCTCTACAATCAAAGCTGTTTTCATTTTTTCGCAATTTTTTATTTTGAATTAAATTGATTTTTTTACCGAAAATTAATTTTTGACTAATTATGTGATGAAACCTTACTATCCGATTGTTCAATAATAAGATTTGTAAGAACAATAATTTACCGCGGAATAATTTTAGTTACTTGTGCTATACGGATGCGCAATGTCAGGGATATGTGCTAACAGGGATAAATTAAATATTATTCCACAGATTTTGTGACGACCACGTTGAGATTGAAAATGACCCAGACTCAAATATTTACGAAATATTGAATTGAAATGATATGTTGCTGATTAAGGGGAAGGGAGAAATATACGCAAGAGAAACATTCAGGAGGAGTCGCATGGAAAAAAATGTTCATTTCAATTGTAATACTAAGTTCTGAATTCTCAAAAGTCTGACTTATTATTTTATACAGTAGGGGCGAAGGGGGAAATAATTGACTGTCGCAATATGTAAGTCTGGAATTTATGAAGGAATATGAATATAGATGTATATATATATATATATATATATATATATATATATACATACGCACGTATGCATACAGGCAGTGGGGTTGGAAGAAGATATGGGTCTAAATGTAATGTCAAAATATATGTGAAAAGAAAAATATAGAAAATGGTACTTGACCACCCAGTAATGATGATAAAGCAAACCAGTCCTTCGTCAAAACTGATTTTTTAGAAAAAAATCAATGGAAAAAAAAATTAATCCGAGGGGGGGGGAGGAGAAAATCAGGGCGAAAGACAATGTAATTCACGAACATCTGGGAAACTAAGAATGACCGCAAAGCCGATAACTGTTCATTAAAAGATATATCACACGGTCGAAAAATATTCGGAAAGGAAAAATGAAGAATGTCATCTGGATTTTGTCAGGAATGCATACCCGCACACTGCGTATACGTGAGATGAACTATCAGTGAAGGTCATGAACAAGGCGAACGATTTTACATTTTTTTTCTGTTTTGCAATTAGGAGAATAAAAAACTGTGACGCGGTTTCCAATAATTATAGATACATATCTTTTCAATCGCCATCCTTCTTGCAGCACTTGAGGACGGTAATACGGAGATCATGTTCAGCAGTATCGAAAATTTTAACCAAAATGAAAAGATTGTATTCGGCATTGGAGACAATCGACCACCTGATCGTAACCTTTGTTATTTGAAGAAGAGGGAGATAATGCGTAATTTAACAGTTTAAAAAAATACTCATTTCATCGAAACTTTTATACGAGATCGGATAATATTACAGAAAGATCAAGAATACGGGTAATCATTACGTTTGAATGGTTTAAACAATGAACGAAAAAAAAACGATTTAATGTCGAGGATTAAAAAATTGCATTTGTAAAGAAATTCAACTTCGACTTCTATATCTTCAAAAATGGGAATCGATAGTGATTATAGAATTTCAACATTATTCATAACAAAAAAAGACCATTCAAATGCGATCGGCACAGGATTCTTCTTTTTCTTGAGGGCAAGAAAAAATGCTCGTGAAACGATTGACCTTGGAAGCATGCATCTGCAATTATCTTACATTGTTGCATATAGTTACTGGCAGCATATTCTTCTTCTTGATATCATCGTTCATCGAAAAAAAAGGAATTACTCCATTCCACTGAATTGTCAACGCAATCCCGCACGTGTTGAGCGAGCAAAATTTCGGAAAATGGGACTGTCGTATAAAAAGAGGGGAGACGCACTGAACCTACTGGTATACATACCATCAGTATGGGTAAAACTGGTGAAACGGGATGGCACTCGAATGAGCCGAATGCCGTATGAATGGCGGGCAGGGCTTTTTCGTTGGAGAGAATTCACATCTCTGTACTCATTTTCAAGATTATTTAACAACCGTGATGAATTTCCCAGTGATGTATGAATATGTCACAAGCTGAGATTAGCCACCCTATATTTTCCTCCTTCAAATTATAATAGATTTCAAAATAAATAAAAAATAAAGCGATGAATTTTTCTGTATCTTAAACAAAAATTAAAAATGAAGGACAAAAAATAGGGATGAGCCTCCATTCGAATGTCTAAAAGAAGGAACCGGAAAATCCTTCAATAAATACCAAAAATTGAGTGAATATATTGTTATTAATTCAATCACAAATGACGAGATTAAAAGTCGTGATTGGTATCATTGCAGAGCCGGGAAAATTTAATACAAGAACAAGGGGAAAGACTACTCGTTCTGCTACAATAGTTTGCACGAAATGGGAAAATTTAATGCAATGAATGAAAAGGTTCTTAGCTATGGTTAAAAAAAAGGCGAAAAAACAGTTTCTCTTCAGAATTCCGCATTAAGATCTATTATCTTTCCAATGAAACCCTATTTGACTGCCAATGTCCCTACTTTTAAATGAAATAGGGCATAAGTCGGGCATTTTCCTTGAATAAGAAAAGAAGAATCACTTGCGTCGAAGCATTAATTTTCCCCCATAATAACTCTCTGAATCAACGAAATACTTCTCAAACTCCGCCACTGTACATTTCGGTGGCATTTTTGGATTATCAAAATTGATTTGTTTGTTCTATCTCATCTCCTTCTTCTCCTCCTCCACTCTCCCCCCCTTCCCTCTCCATTCGAAGCTCATATTTTGCTACATAAACTTCCAATTGTGCAGCGGAGATTCTAATGGAAACCGAAGTAACGTAATATCGTAATATTTGGAAGTACGATTCAAAAGTCTAGGTCGTACATATTATTTTTTTTTTCAAATATTCACAAGATAAGGTGATCACATATCACATTTTCTGAAATCCAATGCTTCGAAAAATTAAAAGAAATATCGAAGGTTTATAGTGGAGCATTGAAAATTAAATCTCGTATAGAAGAATAATTACTTCCAACTCATCAGAAATATTAATCAATACAAAAACTGAACAAATCATTAAATGGATACCTGGGGACTGAAAATCATCATGTTGAGGTGACGCAAGAAGAGGCAGGGGGGGGGGGGCTTTGAAACAACACAGAGAAAGCTCGAAATTTCGCGCGATCAGAATTCGTCGAACGGCAAACGTGCATCAAAGAGGATGAATGCACTGAGCCTGTCGACATACAAACGAAGGGTGGCAGTGGTATTAGTTGGACACCGTATGAATGGCAGGCCTTTCAGTTTTCAAGAATTTTTATCCCTGGACTCATCTTGAAAACTATTTAGACGCCTTGATTCATATTTTCCAATTATATACGTATATCTGTTACGTGCTTGTGATGACCTACACGCCACTTTTTGTCCTCAAATCGGGAGCAATATGAGGAAAAAAAAATCTGTTGTCATAGAAAAATGATTCTCAAATTCAACGGGAAAATAAATGACCACAAAAATAAATACAGACATTAAATCTAAGATAACCCTCTTTTGGAATGAGTGGAATAATACACGAGGAATTTATCCTCTACTCAACA